GGCACAGAGCCCACGTGGATCAAAGGCTAAACTTTGGAGTTGGAGTTATCTTTCACAGTTCCACATCCAATTTGTCCCTGATTTGCTCAAAGACCTTAAATACCTCCCTCTCAGTTACCAAAGTCCAACCCTCGAGCCTGCCATTCCAGATCCCTTACCACCTGGCCCCTGCATGCCGCTGCGGCGGCCGGCCCTCTCCACCCCCTCGCTTCCTCCTGGAGCCCTGGGTTCCCGGGGCATCATGCCACTTGCAGACTCTGTGCTTGCTACAGTCGTGCGTATAGTTCCTGCAAGACTGTTTTGGCTGCAGTCTTTAGCCTTTTCTCCATTGGAGAACTCCTTCTTATGTTTACAACCTCAGCTTGAACGCCTACTCTGTTTTGATGCCTTCCGCAACTTTTCCAGGCCAAGTCAGTTGTTCTTTCTGCTTTCGGCCCTCAGCCAGTGCTCTCCCATGACATTCCATATGTTAAAACATGGCAAAGCGTAACTTGCATTTTTGTATTCTTCCCACCTAACCCAGTGAGATTTCAGCAAAGTGCGTAACTCATAACTGATGTGCAGTGAGTCGAGGATGGCTTAGGAGTACAGATTCTAGAAGCCACCTGCCTGGTGTGAATCCCTGCCCAGCCCCTGATTAACTGCACAACCTCTGCTTCTCCAAGGAGCCTTCGTTGCTTCATTGGCTAAGACAGGGCTAATAATTACAGATACCTCATAGCGTCATTATGAGGATTAAAAGAGCTAATATATGCAAAGCTCCAGGACACTGGCATTTAGTAAGCGATACATAAGTGTTTACGATAATAATTATGATCTTTCGAATGAGTAAGAAACAACACAGAATTAGCAAGCTGGTCACATTTTTTCCTTCGTGAACTCAAAAGAACTCAGAAAGAGTATGATTTGACGTGGGGGTGAAAGTAACATTCTGATGACATGAAACAGGGCATTACAGCCAGCGAAAGGCTCATCAGCGGGCCACAACACTAGACCATTGGGTCTCCTAAGCGTGGTCTGGGGACCAGCAGTATCATCCCCACCTGGAGCTTAGCAGAAATGCACATTCTCAGGCCCCGCCCCAGCCCAGGGCCATGCAGCATGTATTTTAACAAGCTCTCAGTAATTTTGACACACACTCAAGTCTGAGACCCACCGGGCCAGACTCTGTCCATCCTTTAGTTCCTATCTGGGTGTCGTGTGTGTCCCGACTTTCGAACTTGCTCTTTAAGACAAGTTTGGGGCTCTGGCAAGCACCAGGGAGAAAACAGTCACGCTGCTAGTGGACTGCGTGCTCTGAATCTAGCATGGTCTCTGCCGGGTAGTAGAAGCTCACCAAGTGTCATTCCGTATCTTCTTTCCTCCTCTTCCTACCAGAGAGATGAAAGAGAAAATCTCTGCTCCCAGGGCACCGCTTCTGGAGGAGAAGCCCCGAGCTCTCTGTAGTAGAGGGGAGGCAGAAGCGACAGCACAGAATTGTGGGAGGCTGGCTTTGAGAAGCAGCTCGCATGGTGAGCGCCCTGGGTACCTGTCCTCTCATGGGCACGGGGACAGTGGACACGGGGCCACTGCCACTCTGCTGAGCCTGAAGCTCAGCTAGAAGAACAGGTGGGGAAGGAACAAGGAGGAGAGCTTGGTGGGGGCCCTGTGTTCCTGACAAAGTTTTACTCAGTGAGTCAGGCTGGCCTCAGCCTCCCCCTGAGGAAGGCCTAAAATACCAAATGAAGGAACAAATCTTCAGGGGGTGGGGACGGGGGTGTTGCCCGCCTCTGCCTTCTCTCCAAGGGGTCCTTATGCTCGAGAGCGAACAGCGCTGTCTTACCTCATGCTGCACCTGGGCCCTCCGCCTGCTGGCTGGGAACCCAGTGTGGAGGGGAGTAAATGAGGCAGGATGCGAACACCTGTATCCACGAGGATGGGAGGGGACGGGGCGTTCAGGTGGCTCATCCCTTCAATATGTCCAGTTTAGGATGATTTAGGGCAGTGGTTTTCAAGGTGTGGTCCCCTGAATGAGAGCATCAGCGTCATCTGGGACCTTGCAAATTCAGCATCTGATGCGAGCACATTTTTAGGCTGGTCCCAAATCCATTAAGTCTGAAACTGTGGGGGCAGGGCCCGGCAATCGGGGCCATAACAAGGTCTCTGCGGGATTTGGAGGCAGGCCCGAGTTTGAGAACCACTGGCTTAGGGCAAGGGTTGAAGTCTTTTCCTTGTCTCTAAGAAGGGAGACATGTGCCACCCCCTGCCCTGGCAGTGCCTCCTCAAGGGTGAGGGCATGTTGGGCAGGGGCCAGAGAGAGACTGCGGTGACAGGACAGGAGGCGAGGCCCTGTGGGTGGTAAGGGGAAGAAGGAGAGAGGCGGGGAGGCTGCCACAACTCATTTTCTCTTAACATGAACATCCAGAGGGGGCCTGAGCCCTCCCGCCATTGAAACTGGTAAATTACAGGATGATGATGGCGATATTACCAATAATGACGATAATAGCACCAATAATGTGAGGTCAGACAGGCACTTTCCGGGCTTCGGTCAAGGGGTAAGGTTGCGGCTTTGGTGCATTTGCTTCTGCTTTAGAGGAAAACCTGGATCCCAGCCAGCTCTGTCTCCATGGGCGGGGGTGCAGCCAGGGGCTCCCAGCCCTGGGCCCTCCCTCCCTTCTGCTGGACCCTCCCTGTGGTCAGTAAACTCTCCCCCGCTCCCCCAGAATGGAGGTCTGCCCGGAGTCTGGACAGGTGAAGGACTGAGGAGGCAGCCAAGAGGCAGGCAGAGCCCGCCTTCCACGCCTAAAAGACCATCCTAGGGGTGTTCAGTCTGCAGACTAGGTGCTAGCCCAGGAGGCTGGGAGATAGCCAGAGGTAGGCAGCCTACGAAGCTCACCCCGGATGCTGCCCACACGGAGAAGGTGAGGGCGCTAGGGTCTGGCTGGCCTCCAGGCCTCTCCGCGAAGCCACAAAGAGAAACCAGACGCAGGGGCCATACGTGTTGGGGTAGGAGGCTTCAGCAAACCTATGAATACTTCTCAGCCAGAGACCCCCCCTTAGAGATCGCCTCCTCCCTCCCTTGCTCAGAGAAACAAGACAGAGTGGAGATTCAGCATCTCAAGGAGAGAAAAGGTCATCTGGTAGCATTCTCCATCCACATCAGCCCCTGCCACCCGCGCAACCCGTCTTTCTTATTCTTCAAGATTTCCCAGGATGAAATATTTCCCCAAATGCTACAGCGTTTCTAGGAGGATCAAAGGGAACAACCAAATACCCAAGCCCTCCAACTCTTCCCTCTTGCCGCCCGCTGCCCTATCCCCATGCTGGGCTTCAAACGCAGGAGGAAATTAGCACAAGGCCCCCTGTCATCGCAAGCAGTGACTTGTGAACATGTGCTTGGGCTGTTTCTCCTCCACTACACGAGGTTTGGGGCAACTCACTGGGGGCTTGTTTTTTATTTTTTTAATTTTTTTTTTTTTAAAGAACTGTGTGTATGTTAAAGTCATTAAGGTTTGAAAAGGGGTTGGTGGGCAGGGGAGTAAAGGCCATTATATGGGAAGAGAAGAAAAATGACCTGTCTTCAGCCTGTCAACAGGGGAAAGGTCTCTGCACCAGGGCTGGGGTCGGGGGCCTGAGCAGGCATCTCTGTGCCTGGATGGCTGGAAGCAGGGTGAGAGCAAAAGGTTCATCGCTCTGTCCATGCCTTGGCCATAGCAGTAGCTAGGGCTGCCCGGGAGCCGGCTGTCACCGTGCATGTGTTAGAGAGCCACCAAGACGGAAGAGAGCTGGGGGATAAGACAGAACACAAGACAGCGAACACAGGTGGTGCATTTCCTATGTCTCAGGCACTGCACATACGTTCTGCATCTACTTTCCAGGTAATCCCTCTTTTGCAGAGGAGAGGATGGAGAGTCCGGGTGGTTAAGTGCCCTGCCCGAAGTTACTCGGCGAGCAAGCGGGAGACAGAGCATGGAAACAGGCCACACAACGCCGTGGCCCAATCTTTGGAGACTTGCTCCAGTTAAGACCAGCTCATCATTTGGAGTTCCTGCCCCTAAGGGCAGCCACCGCCCCTCACCCCAAAGCGGCCACGGGCAGCTGGGGCAGAAGACATCTCAGCTGGGGTGTGGACAGGCGGGTAGGCAGCAGGGTAAAGAAAACAACTGCTATGGCCCTGGTCAGGTGAAGCCTCTGGTGTCTCCCTTTCTTCCAGGTTTGAGAAGGCACGAAGGTGGCTGGTTCCTCTGGAACCCCAAACTCCCAGCCTTCCATCCACCCTCCCTAACCTCAGCACTCACTCCGCAGGGAAACTCTATCCTCCAGGCCTGAGCCCATGACCTCTTCTTTCGTTTTAGACCCTAATGTACCCGCGCAGGAGGCGGATCTGCGTGTGCGTGTGGTTCTCTGGAGCAACATGGCACTGCTGACGGCCGCGAGGAACGTCATGGAAGCGCCGTCCTGCTCGGGGCGCTAAGGTGCCTTTCTGTTCTGAGGGCAGAGCAGCCCCTTCAAAGACAGGCTGTGCCTTCCCAGGCACTTTGGTCACCTCCCTAGGCTAAGAAGAGGGGTAGCAGGAGGGGCACAAGGCAAGGCTGTGACAGTTATCACATCCTCCCGGGTAGCTGGACCCCGAGGTGGAGGTCCCCGTTGCCCAGAGCGCATGCTCCAAATGACCGCTCAAGTGACAGCGTTTGCTTTCCTTGTTGGGGAAGTTCTGGAAGGATGAAAGTCCGATCCCACTGGCTGCTCCACAGGCCTCCTTTGCCAAAACATACTGTGAAACGACCCCTGACCTCCACCTCATACTTTCTCTGCTCCACCTCCCGTCAGCCCTGTTTGCTCCTCTCCTCCCCGGAGACGGTTAGACAGCTCGGTAATTTAGGAATCACTAGCAAGAGAGGTGCAGAGGTCAGAAGTCAGAGAGGGGCTGGGGTGTGGGGGAGTGGATGTCACCCCTGCTCTCTGGAGAGACACCCCCGCTCCTCCCAGAGCCCACCTCCTGCCACCATCTGCAGACCAGGCCCCCGCGGGGCCGGGAAGGTCGGGCTGGGGGCTGGGGCTGGGCACCGCTGGCTACAGATAGGGGAACATGGGTTTTTTAATCATACCCTGAAAAATAACTCAAGATGCAAATGCAGGCCTCCGATTTTCTTCTTTGGAAACTTCGCTAGGAAAGGAAAGGCTAGATCCTGCCGAGGAGCCAGCTGAGGTAGGAAGTTCTTTCTACCATCTCACTTGAGCTCCTTCCTGCTCTAGCTGCTATACAGACAAAAGCCAATTTACCTAGTCTCTGTCCTCTTTCTTTCCAGGACCTGTTCGGTCCAGCCCAGCACTTAGCTCAGCTCCAAACGCTGTGAATGGCTCAACTCCCTCAAGATGAGAAGCTCGCTCAGGTCCCTTCCTTGAGCAATCGGGACCACCACGAAACCACGAAAGGGTTTTGCTGCACGTCCATAGTTACTAAAAGTGCTTTGCTCAGCCCACAGGAATGAACATTTTTGGAAATTCCATTCATGGAAAGTTAGCTCCAGAAAGGTCTTGTGGTGCAACCTTCTCATTTTGCAGATGGGGATGGGAACAGAGGCGCACCCGCTGGCTGCTGCTGGTTGGTAGCAAGAACGAAGGCTTTTCTGTTGTCCTTTGCGGCTGTGAGGAAGAAAAGGGGCTCGGGGACCTGTCTCAGGCTGAGCAGAGCCACGGATGGGGCTTGTGTCCAGCTGGGCGGGCTTCTTGCCCACCCTGGGAGGGGCAGCTCGGCCCGTCTCTGGGGGGGACCTGCTGCTGGGTGACCCCGTGCGTTTACATCACTTCACAGGGTGGTCACCTCCCTGGCTGGGGGAGCCCGTGGAGGCCGAGGGGCTGGGATCAGAAGAGACACTTTCCTCCTACCAGGCCCTCTCCACCTGTGGAATCCAGCTGGGGCTGCCAACGTCCCGGCCCAGAGAGAGAGCCTTTCCTCTCTTCCTCCCACGTACTTGGAGGAAATGGGAAGGCTGAGGTCAGGGAGGAGGGGAGAATTTATTCAGTCTGGTACAGTGAGTGAAAGCTCTTCTGGGGCTCCCTTCCCCTCCACGGGTGAGGTCAGAAGAATAAAGGTCACAGATGGACCTGCCATTGGATGAGAGAGGCACATGTGTTCTTGTGTGCATGGGGAGGAGGGGGGTGGGCACCAGGGTTTGATGACTCAGACAGGGGAGAAGTCACTGATGGCTTATAAAGAAGACAAGGTCCATCCTGAATCCGGAGGGAGGGAACTGAAGCCCTATGAAGTCACTTTCTTGAATGTCACTAACATTTCATTTCACCCTCCTTCTGCCTTCTTGTCTCTTTCTTCCTCTTTCCCCCTTAACCTCCCGCAGCAGGGGACGGGGAGCAGAGGGAGCCGCATAAGGGTTCTCCAGGGCCTCCTTGACTCTGCTGACCATCAGCGGCCATGAACTGCTGCTGACAGACGAGAAATGAAGTGGCAGAGACGGAGGGAGGGCAGATGTCTGCAGCTGCATGGTGCACCCCCTCCCTGCTGCCCCCTGGTCCCAGGCTGTGGGTGGGGGGAGCTGGGCCAGGTGGGGTGGGCGGAGGTGGGAGGAGGGAGCGGAGGTGTAGGAATGTCACAACTCTTCTGTTCATTTGCCAACCTGTACGCTTTCTTTAGACCTTGAGTCTTGCAGCTAGTAGGCTGCTCTTCAACTTGCCTGGGGAGGACGGGGCGGCTGTCCACAGCAGAGGAGGAATTCAGGCGGTAGCTGCAGCCAAGTGGTTTTGCAATAATATCCTGCCTCCCAGCCCCACCTCCTGCTGCAGACACAAGCAAGGTACACTGAGGGCACTCCGAGATAAGGTGGGTGTAGTGTCATTAGCCTGCCTGACTTACTCATCACACCCCGGGCCTCCACTGGGGTGGGTGTGGGTAGGGATGGGAACAGAGGGACACCGACGGGAGGTGAGGCAAGCGGTTATGCTTCAGTCAGTTTTGAAAGTTGTTGACATGATAGAGATGGAATGAGAGATGCAGAGCCAGATACTGGGCATACCCAGCTAGACCTGCCACCCAGCTCACTCGTGGGTCCAGCTGCTGTGCCCAATTGGCAAGGTCCCCTGATGGGGAGAGAAGTCAGGAAGGGCACATGCACACACGCACACATACATACACACCACACACAGTTTCCTGTGCTGCACGTGCATGCATGGGCACACATGTCATACACACACACACACACACACACACACACACACACACCACATAGTTTCAGGGAGATTCTGGAAAGGATCTTTGGCCCATTCTCAGAAAGCCTCAGCTGTTCCTCCAGACTCCAGGGCGGGGGGAGGGGGGGGCGGGGGGGAGAGGGCAGCAGATGGTCCCAGCTAAGCAGGCAAGTCTCCCAGCGCCTCTAAAACTAGGGTCTGGGCCCCTCCAAGGCCAACAGTCCAATTAAGCTTTGTTCCCACAGGTGGAAAGCAAATGAATTTGGAGCCATTCCTTCCCTTCTTTCTGGCATCAAGCCTCAGGCCTCACCCCCTCCCCCTCGGCATCCTTGCAATTTCCCATATGGACTCCTTGCCTCCCACACTCCACTCTGAAGATTAGGTTACTCAGGGATCACAGACCCCCAGAAATACTTCCTTCCAAGATGTCCTCCAGACTGCAGGACCTGCCTGAATCATTCAAAGGAAAACTCAGGGCTCACAGGCTTGGCTCCCACTAGGAACCTTCTCTCAGGAGGGGGCTCCTGGTGATGAGAGCCAAAGATTCCCGAACCTTCCATGATATGCCCTCCTTCCTTCTCCCAAGGGCCTGGAAAAGCTGCAGGGAGATTCTGGTGCTGTACTCTCCCTTCCAGAGCCCTCTCCTCCTCCTTGCAGAGCTAATGGGCATGACGGGCATAAATATATCCATACATCTCTCTATAAATATACACATCTTTAGCTATATATATCTTTTCTTCTAAAGATTTGGCAAGAATTCCCTAGAAGCCTTTTCCATGACACAATAGAAAACCAGCCGAGTCATCGGTTTGATGGTTCCCACAAATACAGCTTCAGGTTGACCTTTGCAAAGCTCCTTTGAACTCTGCTTCCAGTAACTGAACCCCTTCAGCCCTCACCAGGCTCCAAGCCCCTGGCAACCACAAAATACAGCTCAGTTTCCTGAAGCTGCCACTTCATTCCTCATTGGCCTCTGTTTGAAAGAAAAAAAAAATTTTTTTTTTTTAAATCCATTGCTTTTGACCTATCATCTTAAAAAAAAAAAAAAAAGGCTTAGTATCTGAGCTCCAGCTGGCAGCAGGAGGGAACGAGTCGGGCAGCAGGATCCCATGGCACTGAGGGAAGCTGTGGGTAAGGATGGGGTGCTGGTGGCTAGCCCCACTGTGGGCAGGATGGTGGGGCCCACTGAAGGCATCTATCAAGGCTTAGCAAGCCCTGGGGCAGTGAGCAAAGACGTGATGGGTCTCCCCATGATGGCTTGTTGAATAAACAGGAGAAATTCCAGGGTATGAGAACAGAGCTGGAAAAGCCACTCAGGTAATGACTTTCTAAGGCGGTTATCATTGGGCACAAGGTTCTGAGAATGCTATCTTCATCAGCCTGCATCAGCACTTGTTGGAAGGAGGCCCAGGAAGGGAGGAGGCAAAGACTGGCTCTTCTGGCTCTCTTCTTCCCCCTCCTCCACTATTATACCTTCGGTGGGCGGAGACAGCCCCTGCGGCTTTTTTTTTTTTTTTTTTTTTTTGAGGTATGAAGAGCCTAGCCACATGTTGACACCATATTTAATCCTGAAACAGGGTTTTCTTTTTTTGATTTTCAAAGTAGGGGCTGGAAGAGGGGATTCATAAGTAGAACGTGGAAAGCACAAAGCAGAAACGGCAGAGAAATGCAGAGTAAAGGTAATTTAGCAAAAAACAAACAAAAAAAACCCTTTGAACCCACAACTACACCTCCGATAGCCTTTCTTGTTGAGTATTCTTTTTTTTTTTTTTTTTTTTTTAAGTTGGGTTACTATCTTGGCAAGGGAGGGTGCCGGCAGGTGTTCAATGATGGTGTCAAGAATGTCTTTCAGGAAGGTAGGTTCTGGAGGCAAGGGGCGGTGATGGAGAAAACGGGGTGCGTGGAGGAGTAGGTGGCCCCACATCTGCAGAGAGGTAGCTGCTCTGAGAATTGCAACGTGATTTTGTGCAAAATTCTTCCTGCAGGAGTAAGGGGGAGGGACAAGAGGCACATTGCTGTGTTTTGCGGACCTAAGAATTCTGAGCTGGAATGAAAGGCAGCTCACTGTGTCTTGGGGCAGCTAGCTCAGCTCCTCTACTCCGTCTCCCACTTTCTTCTTTATTGTTAGTGACTATCGTGAGGATTAACTAAAAGGGCCCGGAGTCCCTTGGCAACGGGTCTCAGCAGACCCTGGGCATGATTAGCCCTGCAATTACTCCACATCTGGAAAAGGTAATGGCTCCCAGACTGGCAGGGGCATGTCAGAGACCCAGGGCAGGAAGATGTTTTCCGTCACCTCGCTGATCTCGGCTCCGTGGTGTGTGAGGCTGCATTTGGAAGGCAGCGGGGCAGCAGCCGCAGAACCTTAATAGCAGATACGTTCCTCAGAAACACCCCAAGTCACATCCCTTTCTGCTCTGTACTTACAGCTCACTTCCCTCCAGCTGACCTCAGGCAGACAAACCTGAAAGCCTCACCAATCAAACCCCTTCCCTGGAAGAGAGCACCACAGCTGGAATGGGGGAAGAGGTGTTTGGGGCACCCTCCCCTCCCCGAACTGTTGCTACCTTTCCTGTTGGGACATGACCAACCATTTTGTAAAAGTTCCTTGTGTTCCCCCCTCACCACCACCTGCAGGGCATTACGAGGTCACATATTTTTGGTCTGTGGGCTGCAGATGTCAGATTCTCTCTCTAGGGCCTTGCTCGTTGCATGTTTTTGTTTTTGTTTTTAATGGGGGGTGGCATTTTAACCTGCCATCACATGGGTGACCTATGAGATTGATGGGGAGAAGGGGGGAGGCTTTGGGACAGCAGCTATAGCATGTGACTGTAATCGCCCTGCTGCCAGGACATATGGTCAGAGTACCATGGTGACTGGTGACAGAAATGCATCTTGAAGGTCTGAGGCGACTAGTACAATGGGGAGGGGAAGGTGGACAGCACTGACCCCTTATATCTGGACAGGAGGGTACAGTTTTCCGGATGTTTTCACACCTACTCTGTCCCACTAAATCTGCCCCTTAATCCTGTGAATCAGGAACCAGAATTATCAATGTCTCTTTTATAGATAAGGGACGGGGTGACTTCCCCAAGTCAATGGCTGTACAGCCAGGGCTAGAGCCCAGGCCACTTGATTCCTGGACTCCTTTTCCCCAGCTCCACAGTGCCTCATGGCCACTGCTGCGTAGCCAGAATCTTTGAGAGAAGGAAATGCAATGTCTTGTCTTCAGGGGAAGCGGGAAGGGAGCAAACACATCTCACACCTTCCAATAGATTGTAGGTATCTGAAGAAAGGGCCCTTGCCCTATGGTCCTTTATACCTCTCATGGCCCATAACCCACAGTCTTCCAAATATATTGTTTGAATGGCTACTTTAGGTTAGGATATAAGGAAAGACACAAGGGACCCAAGACATCATGGGGGGTTGGTGGGAACTCTGAATCACAAAACTAGGGTTTACGTCTAGGCTTCAAGATTTACCCACGGAATAATCAGCTGGGAAGTTTGTCTACCCCATCGTGAAAATGGAGAGAAGAATGTCCACCTCTAGAATTTCTATCAGAACTGACTGAGAAGAGAAATGCAAAAGCATACTGCACACTGTGGGGCATCAAGTTGGATCTTCCTGAGCCTGAGGCTCAGGAGGTCACAAAGGTAAGACAACAGAGAGGTAAGGAAGCTCCTCCTCCGAGGGTCCTTAGAGTAACGTGCATGCCCTCCTGCCCCAGGCAGGTTGGGTGTACTGTGCTCAGGGTGGGAGGGGGGGCTATGTTGGGGGCGGGGGGCGAAGGGTCTGTTGCATTGTAGGCTCTCGGTGAATGAGTATCCATTCTAAAAACTACTCTATTGTGAGAAGCACGAGGAGAAGAGCAAAAGGCGGTGATAAGGACATTGGGAGGATCCCTCCCAGCCTCAGAGTCGTAAATGATTTCTTCTCTAAAATGAAATGTCTCCTGAAAGGGTCAACTGCCACCACTGCTTAGTGCTTCCACGCCAGTCTCTGGGTCTCTGCTGAATCGACGGGTAAACATGGATGACTCTTTACGGACAAGAGCATGTCAGGGGAAGTGGTGGTGGCTGCGGCCTACATCAGCTGACTCGCCACAGAGAGAGGAGAAGATGTCGGTCTCGGGGTTGATTCTGGTGCCTGGGATGACCTACACACAGGACCCCTGAGGAAACCTGCGCAGAGATGGAGGCCCACCAGGAGGGTGCACTGACTTTCCCTTCTCATCTGCCTGAGCCCCCGGAAAGAGCCAAGCTAGGGCTGATGTGCATATGGGCTAGCGTTTCCCAGTCCCCACCCTTTGCCAAGCACCACACTAAACGATGACCATTTGTGACCTCATTTAATTTTCCAAGCGCCCTTCAAGGTAGGGATCATCATTCTCATTTCGCAGGTGAAGAAACCAAAGCTGAGAGAGGCTAACTCATTCCTCCAAAAATCATTTAGCTCGTAGGTGGCAAAGATACAATTTGAGACAAGATGGGCTGACTTGAGAGTCCATATTCGTGCCGTCACACACCCCGCCCCTGTCCAAACAGCTCACCGGTCAGGAGCTACCAACAAATACCGCACCTCCTACAAGACGCACTAAATCAACGCGAGGAGAAGCCGGAGGCTGGCAGAGAGCAGATCTTTATCAAGACACTTCAGGAGTAGGAGAAATATTTCCACCCTCTTCCCAGCCAAAGGGTTGGCTGTGTTTGTGAGATGAGAAACACTTTGTGGGGAGGGGCGGGAGGGTGCAATCTCCAGCTAAAATCACCACCCACACCAAAATAAACCTGAAGGCAAACGGGGACCTCCGGGATGCTGTTCGATGGTTTATGTGTGTGTATGTGAGTACGTGTGGGGGAGAGGGAAAGAAGGAGGCGGAAAAGAGAAAGTAATATCTTTTTCTCAGACCCAATGGCATTTATCAACCATACTCTCCTCCCCAAATGCAGGCTTCTCCCTCACTCACTTATTACATGTGTTCTCTTTCCTGACCTTGTGCAGAGAGCTACAGCATGGTTCGGAATGAGCACAGACTTTGGGGTGACTTTGGGGCCGGCCCACCTGGGTTTGGTCTCCTACTCTACCACCTGCTGAGTTGGCCCGTAAATACATAGTACGTGAATGAATGGGGAAATAATTGAACCTCCCTGAGATTTAGTTTTCTTGCCTGGAAAGAAAGTCACAGTACCTGTGTTGCAGGATCATTACCAGGAGTGAATGAGGAGAAGGTCGGCACATAATTAATAACTCAATAAATGTTTGTTGCCCTGATCAGAGCTTCTCAACCTCAGTACTACCGACATTTTTGGACAGGATGACGCTTTGTTAAGTGGACTCTTCTGCGCCTGTGTAAGACGTTCTACAGCATCCATGCCCTCTATCCACTAGATGCCAGTAGCATCTTCTGTCCCAGACATAAGAATCAGAAATGTCTCCAGCCATTGCCAAATGTCCACAGAACCACCCCCATTGAGAAATACTGGCTTCAGGTAACATTCCCAACAAGTAATGCATTTGAAAGCATGTAGTAGGCACTGATAGTAATAGTCACTGTGTTGAATGGGGGAGTGGAGGTATGAATGAACACACTGCATAATGTAGTTCTGCAACTTAAAATCCTTGGCAGGAAGAGGAGGGTCTCCTTAGTTCTTTACCCTTGAAGGTTCACGGAGTCACAGAGAAGTCTGATGGGCCCCCTCTGGCCCCCTCACTGGTGTTTCTGTCCCCTTTCGGCAGCTGGAGCCTGTCAGGGTTTGCCGGTGCAGCACAGACAGGAGGGAGGCAGTGAGCTAGGTGAGGCTGAAGGAGTCTTTCCATCTGGGAAAGGCCAGTCCCAGAGGGATTTGCCTGCAGCACTGATGGTTTGAATTTCGGTGTATGAGACGTGAATGTCGGAATCACACGCACTTCCCAAAGAACCTCATCCTTTGCCACAGCCAGCCACAGACTTCGGTAGGAGCCCCTATATCCTACCTTACTTGGTGGCATTGGCACACACCTAGAAGCTACTTTGACTCACTTCGAGAAGATACTTTCACACCAGAGCAGAGAGATGATCCATCCGGGTGCTAGGATTTCTTCCTTCCCTCCCCTCCTCGCTCCGCCCTTTTCTTTTCTTCCTTTTTAAACATTTACGAATGTCTGCTACATTAGTTGGTATATAGACACAGAGATGATGAATACAGCCTCTGTCCTAAAATTGCTGAGGGACAGGGAAAGGAAAAAGGGTGATGACAATTGTATAATGATAATAGGAAACACCGACTGAGCACTGATTCTATTTTGGATACTGATCTCTGTGCTTTACATGTATTCCCTCATTTCCATGGCCCTCACAACAAGCCTGGGAGGCGCAAACTATTTCCAGTGTGCAGCCCGGGAAGCAGGCACAAAGTGATGTGACTCTTACTACGTCACCGTACACTAACCGGCACAGTCAGGAGTGGACTCCAGGATATTTTGGCTCTTGGGTCTGGGCTTTTCTTAACTACCACTTAGCCCAGCATTTCATCGTCTGCTATTTGAACCCGTTTTTCTTAAGCAACAACAACAAAAAAAATCAGACCCATAACTGTGACATACATAAAAACAGAGGAGGGCAAGATGCTTTGATTAAAAAGGGTGGAATTGGAGGACTGGAGGGGTCCCTCTAGGGCTCAAAGGCACACTGTTTAAAAGCCATGAGGTAAGGAGTCTTCACATTTTAGTTTCAGAGATAGCTTTGAGAATCTGATGCAAGCAATGAGCTGTCCACATAAAATTACCGATATGTAAATGTTTACTGAACGTAGGTTTAAAATGCTGTGCATTTGGGGCGCCTGGATGGCTCAGTCGGTTAAGCGTCCGACTTCAGCTCAGGTCATGATCTCACAGTTCGTGGGTTCGAGCCCCACATTGGGCTCTGTGCTGACAGCTAGCTCAGAGCCTGGAGCCTGCTTTGGATTCTGTGCCTCCCTCTCTCTCTTTGCCCCTCACTTGCTCATGCTCTGTCTCTCTGTGTCTCTCAAAAATGAATAAATGTTTAAAAAATGTTTTAAAAATAAAAATAAAAAAACCAAAATGCTACCCTTTCAACTTGTGCCATATCTTCCTATTGGGTCTCCCTCCCTCTGTGTCTAACATGGGGGTGGGTGACTGCAGTACAGTGAACGGTGAAACCCAGACAGTCCTGGAACTGCTTCGTTTGCTCAGAAAGAGCGGAGGACCCGGGTTTGGGTCCTAACAAGGGTGCTAACATTGCCCCCACACAGCCTGAGAAGGCCTGGCTGTCAGAAATGATCTGTGCCTCAGTTTCCACACTAGCCTCATGCTAGTGAGCTTCCATATCTTGGATATTATTAGAACAGACAAAAGATGGGCATCCAGGTTCCATTGTGAGCGTTACTGCTGGGGGATGCTGGGTAAGTCACTTGACCCCTCTGGGCCAGTTTCTTCATCCTTAAAATCAACACCCATGGGCTTGTTACAATTAGTGGATGAGCTCAGTCAGCATGGGTGAAATATACATGAAACTCTTTATATTCCTCAAACCACTAACCGCATTTAAGGGTGTTGTTATTATTTTGGGATGCAGACACGATCGAAGTTTCATACCGAGAGAGTTACCTTCTCGACCGGGAACCAGAGAGGATAATGGAGATCACTTTTACTTAAAAGGGACAAATTGAGGCCCAAGATATGCAATGATTTGCCTGATCACCCATCGATGCGTTTTTTGGAGTTGTGGGGCGAACTCCTAGCTTAGGGCATTTAGCTCTGGACAATCCTTGCAACATCCAGTGGCCCTGGGGCCATCTGCTCCCTCATCTCTGGCCCCTGTCCCTCGGCTAAGAACAGACTCTGGGAACAGCCTCTTGCTATGGCTCCCCTGATCCTCCGTGCTCAGGTTGGAGATGCAAATCAACTTCCAAGCTCTCAGTGATGGGGAAATGAGAAGGCTCTTGATTGGGTCTGCCTGCTGTTAATGAGCTGATCTGGGGGAAAAAAACCAAGTGAAAATGAACAATCACTACCCAGAGTCGCCAGAGTGTTCTGTGCAACCCGCCCGACATACGTGTTTTATGCAGTGCTCAGACTGCTGGTGCCTGGGGCCGGCAGGCAGGTTTACGAGATTAAAGCCCAGTGCCCAATAAATAATTTAGCAGCTTACTGCAAAAAAAACATACACACAGTATAATAGCTACTATCTCCAGCAGTCTGATGTGTACATACATTTTAAATGCACATCACTTTCATCTACATGTTTCCATTTGATGTGGAGTCCAAAACCAAATAAGGAGGAGAAAAAGAACATCACCTCCACCCTCTGTCTACGCCCTGCCCCTCAGATGGCGTTGATGAGAAAGAAAACCATTCAAGGCGCTAATCATTCAGGGCTTTACCAGCTTCTCCACATCCCACCCCCTCTCTTATCTCTGCTTTATTCTTTGCTTTCAGTTGCTGTTTGTGTGTGTAGGAAGAATCTGCAATCTCTACTAGACCAATTATTCATTCAGAATTTGGTTTTCTTCTCCCAGGGGTGCCTTTTATGGAGCAAAGCTGGCTCCGGGTGCTGTCTCCTGCAGCTTCACAAGTGACTTGCTAGTGGGTGCAGCTCAAAAGCTGAAACAGATAAATATCACTACCATGGCCACCAGCGTCCTGGCTGAAGTTTTAATGAGCTAGAAGGAGTGGTGAATGTATGATAAGAGTCGGTCCTGGGTGCAGAAAAGGGAAAGAGTATTAGAGGAGGAAGAGGATGGGATGAGTGTGATGTGGAGAGAGGGTGGGAGGAGGCAAGAGAAACTTGCAGGGAGTTGCTCCCAGATCCAGAAGCATCAACGGGAGATGAGTGGTGCATGGTAATCTGTGTAGCAACAGAAACAGGCAGGAGACAATGAAGCCGAAAGGAAGGATCCTCTCCTCACTGGGAAGTTTACTGGTTCTTATCACAGTTAAGGGACAAGTGGCCTCAGTGGGGGAGACAGGCATGAGGGACAGTGGTGGGAAGGCCCTCTACCTTTCGTGGAAATTGGGGAGGCATCCATTTCCACACCAGCCCCTTGGCTCTCCTTCTGTGGGTAGCATCTACCCCAGACCCACCGGCCACTGGCCTTGCACACACAGCACCAAGCATACCCCAGCCCCCCCTACTTTTGCACCTCCTTGGCCTTGGAGGCATTTACTGCCAGTGGCTGTGGTTTATCTCCCGTTGTTTATGGCCGGGGACAGGCTGCCTACAAATAGCTCCCCAAAGAGTAGGGAAATGCAGGCATCTGCCATTCTGTGAAGCTCTTTCCAGAAATGAAAAGGACAGTCATAAAATGTTGCACGGGGGGGCGGGGTGGAGGGTGGGTAACATGCATCATAAAAAGCGTAATGGACTAATGCTAATACACAGACTGGCTGCAGCCCAGGGGTGTCTGCTGAGCTCAGACATAAATATTGGGGAGGCACCAAGGAGACAGATTTTTTATTTCTTTGATTTGATGGTAGGGGGAGGTTGGGCATATTTTTTCCTCTGTTTCTCTGACTGTGGCCATTCCTCTGGGAATACCACCAGTCTGTCTGAGACTGAAGCTACTCAGTGTTTTATGGCTTCCAGAGTACCTCCAGAGACTGGAGGTGCAGGAGGATCTGTGGGTGCATGCTATTGCCTCACAGGGTGAGTCAATCTGGGGTCTGGTTGGTATGAGCCAAGATCTTGCAAGTGACAAGAGAGCTGGACGCGGTGAGTATAATCATGCTGAATGTGTGCTTGAATGCGTATATGAGTAACCATGGACCTGCACAACATCAGGCTAATTTCCAATATTAACGGATTGATATTCTCTGATTAAAGTGCTCTGCTTAGTGGAAACAAAAACAGCAACCCCAACAGTAACCCAACGCGAATCTCCATTCCCTCTCAACTTCAGGTATGAGGAGTAGAACACTTGTTAGTTCATTAATGAAAAGTGCAGGCACTTGAGGATTCAACCATTCAACCACACACCCCGTTTTCTAGGCGGTTATATGAAAAAGCACCTACATCTTTGGTGACTGTTGGCCATTGGCCAATTGCTGGCTGTCCACATATTTGCCTTCAAGCACACACTTGCAGAGAGTGGTCAGATGTACAGTGGATGTGCGGGGCAGTCGGCGGAAAGGAATATGGATCCTGTGTAAAAAGAGCCTCTATTCTGGGTGATGTTCAGAGGGTCTCACCCCTTTCTCCGCAGCCTCGAAGTACTCAGTGAGTACTCTATGAGTAGGGTGGGAGCTGTGGGCCCTGACCTCAAGGACGGGTTTAGTCTACCTAAGAGCCTGG